AAAAAAAAAAAAAAAACAAGCCTGGAGAGAAACCATGCCCGCATTGCTCCACAATCGATTACATAAAGTCTCTCTCTCTCTCTCTCTCTCTCTCTCTCTCTCTCACACACACACACACACACACACACACACACACACACACACTCACGGCGACCTCATTCGCCATCGGAGTGGCTTCCCTCGAATTCAGACGACCGTTCACTGCAGTTATCTGAATCGGGTCATCCTCCACAACCTCCGCGCGAGCCTTGCGCTGGCAAATGTTCTTTTTTTTTTTTTTCCACCGGGTTCAGCGGTCTTCGGCTTGCGCGGCCAAGGGGGGGCAAGAAGAAGAAGAAGGAGAAGAAGAGGAGGAGGGGGAGGAGAAGAGGAAGAAGAAGAAGTAGCAGAAGAAGAAGAGAAGGAGGAAGAAGAAGATGATGCGAGGATCAGTGTCCTCGGTAGGCCTACTGGGCCCTGTCTGCAGCCTTACCCGCCCTAAGTGAAGGCGGAGGTGCCCGCCCTAAGTGAAGGCGGGCCTGGCTTTTTGCAAGAGGCCCTCGACTGTCAATTTCATATTTGGGGTCCAGGCAGTTGCGACGCGCCAGTTGGTTGAAAGAAACACAGGCCGAGTACCGAAGACATTTCCACGGCCTACCGGGCCTTTCCAAAGAATGCAGGCCCTGGGCGTGATTCGCAGCCTCATACAGAGACAGTTGGGCGCCCAACCGAACGAGGCCCAGCAGCCCAGTAGCTGCAGCATCCTGGGGCCTTCCGGAAGCTGCTGCGCCCAGGCCAGCCCAGCCAGGCTGCGAGAGCTGGCCAGCTCTTTTCCATAAAGGAAAGAGCTCTGGCCAGGCAGCCTCATTCAGGCACTCGCATGCTGGCGGCAGCGCTGCTAGAGCAGATGCTCRTGGGCTGCTGMTAGCWYTGGRAGGCRAGGTGCAGCACGTGCGGTCGTGCAGAGGAGGAGGGCGCTGCTAAGGGCAGCGCCATAGCCTAGCCACCATAGCTGGTGGGCTTGGACTACAGTGAAGCGCAGGGGTGGTCTTCGGTTGACAGAGAGGACAGGTGTGGGTGAAGTGAAGGATGATGATGATGATGATGATGTGAGGGCAGGTACCTGGTATTGGCGATGGTCTGCATGGGTGGCATCTTCAAGTACTTCCGGCTGCTGCTGATGTCAACAGTTGGATTGTCTTTTTGTAGTCTGTAGTAGCTGTGTAGGAGTAGGCTGGGCGCTGAGCGCCAAGTGTGAGTGTAAGGGAACTGGACTCGTGTGTTGAGGGAGAGAGTGTGCTCTCCACGGACRTTGGKTTTCRRYGCTACGAAACTCCATTGGTGTATTATTGGTGCAATGCTGCTATCTGGACACGGTGTGACTATTTGACTTGCAATGTGATGGTGTGATCTGGGATTGTCATCTCGCTGTTGCTT